AAAACCCAATAAAGATGTCTTAAACACCTGTGTATATATAATTTGAATTAATAATGTCAGTTTTTAATTCTGCTTTACTTGTATGTTCTCTTTATAAAAATTTTTCTGAGGGAAGTTCTCTTAATGCACACATCTGGGCAAGGAGATTTTCACTCACAACTTCTTTCCTGATCGACTATATGATCCAACGTGACTTTGACCACAAAGTGTGTGACATACATTTTTGTATTACAGGTCATCATTATCTATGTGAGGTATGAGCACTGGATTGCCCCCAAATGTTGTAATTTCACTCAATAATCTCTTTGTAAGCAAAAGAGCAAGGAAAAAAATTGATTCAGGTGAGATGATAATAATTTCTAAATAAAAAAATTCTCAGCAGGAATATTCTTTCATTTAATAAATCTAAAATAAGATTATTTCAAAGTATAATAGATTATGACTATATCTTTAATATTATAGCAGATTAAAAAACAAAATCAACAAAACCAACAATAATTAAATGATCAAGGGTTGTGAATATATATTACTCCATAAGTTCTGGTTTTAAGTCATCAAGACCTAAATCTACCAGTTAGTTCTGGGAGAAATTCTCATCAAGTTGAGAAGATGTGTAAAACCCAGAAGCACATATCCAAAATGTAGGAGCGAAGCACTAAAATTATACAGCTGGGTCAGGGAATTTACTAATTATTTTAAGCACTTAAAAATTCTAAGTTGAAGCATTTTGTCTGCAATTTGTAAAACAAATTATTCATTTGACATTCTGATAGCAAAGGTTATCTGGATCATTTCTGTTTCTCCCACAGGATCAGACCCAATATCTAACATACCGATATTGCAACACATACATTTAAGATGCAATCTAATAGTTTCTTTGTGTTCCAAATGCTTTTCTCTCTTTCGGCATGTATATGTCTCATATTTCAGTGTGTTTATATCAATCTCTCTCAAAGCCTCCACTCTTTTCATTTAATCTTTCTAGTCAGTGATTTTTTTTATTAACCCCAAATGTAAAAATGATGCTAAAAATTTGATTAAAATGTTAGTTGCAAATAATGGGACCTATCTAAATGTTATTATGCTTTAGGAAATGTGCCAAGTAGTTATGTATACGCCATTACTTAATTTTCACAATAACCCAGTATGTAGAAGCAACAATTACTCCTACTTATAGACAAAGAAACCGAAACAAAAAATGTTCATTAAATTGTCCGACATTAAAAGCTAAATAGCACCAAGGGGCTGGGCTCGGTGGCTCCACCTGTAATCCCGCGCTTTGGGAGGCCCAGGTGAGTGAATTGCCTGAGCCCGTGGGTACAAGATCCGCTTGGGCAAATTGGCAGGACTTCATCCCTGCAATAAATCAAAAATCAGCCGGGCGTGGTAGCGCATGCCTGTAATTCCGGCTACTCAGAAGGCTGACGTGGAAGGATCGCCGGAGACCAGCAGGTCGAGGCTGCGGTGGCCGGGAGCGGCTGCTGCACTCCAGTCTGGCCGACTGAGTGAGACTCCAACTCAAAAACAAACAAACAAACAAAAAAAAAAAACCAAGGATCTAAATATTTCTAACTTCAATGTTCATTATGTTATAGTTAGTCAAAGTATAATTTTATATAGTTTTTTCCAATGTTAATACCTTGTACAACATATTTTGTCACTGGTTTATTAGTATTAGATGCACTGACTAGCGCATCAATGGGCCCACCTTTTCAGAAAAATGGGAAATATACAAAATAAGGTATAAAAATAAAAGGGTATGGTATTCAATTGCCCAATGTCAAAAACTATGAGTTAACTGTAATTCTTATCACATCCTTGACATTCATAGTGTAGCCTATTACTTTTGGTCATATATCTGAAATGTGTTCCAACAACTTCCAGCTCCTACCCTATTGCCCATTGGCATCTTGGTGTTCTTACTCGATTGGATTGCTTCTGTAACGCATAACTAGTCCTTTCTTCTACTCAAGTCTATTGTCTACATTGCCTTTGAAGGTATTTTTTAAGTGAAAAATTTAACTTGATCATCTAAAATATATTATTTATGGTCTCTTTGGCCTATAATACAAATTTAAAATTCCATTGCTTTGCTAAACTCTGGGATGTCCATGTGGCCCTTTGAGCTATGGCTGCCATGTTTCCTAGCTTTGAATCCCTCCCCTACCTTTGGGAGGTGAATCTCCTGTCTCTCTCTCTCCTCTCTTCTCTCCAATTTACTTTCTAAATAAAGTATATTTTCCAATCTAAAAAACAAAACAAACTTAAAATTTATAGGCATTCTTAGCTTTTCAATCAAAATGTCTAAATTCATTTTCCACTAGTATCCTTCAGTTCTCTTATGTTAAAAAAAAAAAGCTATTTCTAAGATAAAAACACACAAATAAAAACAATAGACAAACTCTAAAAGAAAATTTAGATGTGGCAGGGTAATGTTGGTTCTGCATGTCCTTGGAAAAGTACAATAAGATCACCTGAAGATTCGAGCATTATTTTTTTTCTTGAAGCTAGTTTTTAACTCCTATATAAATTGTTTAATAAATGTCATTGTAAAAAATGAAAGCACAGATATTCTACTCAGAGTGTTTAAATATCACTTTTCAAACTTGGCTGTCAACATTACGTTAAGGAGAGTTACTAGTTTATTTTCCGAATTTACTTAATCTTGTTTTTAAATCTCATTTGTAAAGAATGCAATGGGATGCAATCGGTATACTTGTGTTTTCTAGTTTCATATAAGAAGAGAAACATTGCTAAAATTGTATTCATGGTGCTAGGGAAGAGAAGCAGAAATGTTGGGTAGAATGTTACTTCTATTTCTAACAAACTATTCATGCTATTGCATGAAACAAATACATCATCTCTCTACTACCAGGATGGTACTCAGGACTGTGGCCAGGTTTGGCAGGAGAAGTAAATGATGTATCATGTCCCCCACTCCCACCTCATGGTAGAAAGAAATTATTTTTGAGTTGGAAAGACATCAGAGTTATATTTTCTCACTTGAAAAGGAGAAAAAGAAGGCCCTGAGAAAATTAAGAATACAAAATTTGATCAGGGGTATATCTCAGATATCTTTACTTTCACCTTTGGTACATGCTCCAGAATTTTTGTATGAAATCTTGTTGGTCACTAAAGTGTGACCACAGTCTTCAGACATTCATGGAACACTTAGTATATGCCAGACACAGAGCTAATTATTTCACATACACTGTAGAATCTAACCTTTTTAACAACCCAGTAAGGTTGACACTCTCTTCACTGTTCAGTCAGACTCCAAAGATCACATTTTCTCTGTTAGGCTATGCTTTCCTTATGCTTTCTTTAATGGGAAGAATTGAATTTGGTTCTCTAAGAATAATTATAGCTTACAGCAAAAGGATGTTTATATCATTGTTAATAATTATATCAGTGTCATTATCCTTGCTAAAGACATTTAAAATATTACTTTAGGTAGCAGCACTACAAAAGGTAGCTTCTAAATCCCCAGGCTTCTTATTAAGGGGTAAAAAGCATATTGTCTGAAGGTAAAGCATATACACACTAACAGAAACTATAGTACAGAGTATAAGTGCAAGGATAAAGGAAGCCCCTGGGGTGCCACAAAAGCAAATTCAGCTTCGCCAAGGACCATCTACACACAGGAAACAGGTACAGAGAAAACCTCACACTCAGAGAACACTGAGAGACAAAGAACACACACAGGGCAGTAACATATGCATGTCGTCATCCCTCCCCCCTCCTTTGACTATGCTTAGCTTTGCTCATGGCTTCTATTCTGTAGCTGAAGTTATGTGCCTTCTAATGAACTGTGAAGGAAGAAACTCTTTCTGCTGACCTCCGAAAAGCTAATGCTAATTTTGACACTAGCTTTCAGACAGCTTCTAGTGAAGAAGCAGGTTGTGCAGAAAGATGTATTTGTTCACCAAGGGTGCCCAACAAATGCCATATAATGGACACGGCCCCAAAATTTGGACACTCATAATATAACCATTTGCACCGAGGCATGGCCTTCTCAGTATCATAAAGCCTATATACTCCATATTTGGAAAAACAAGTAAGTTTCTACAAAGGTCAGGGATGAAATCAGGGAAAGGTCATCCTCTGAAATTGAGACTAGTAAGTGTCCTCACAGTCAATGAATTGCCATTTCAGTGGTACCTCATCAAAGAGATTGAAATATACAAAACCTATATATAAGCCCACCAAGATTACTGTGACATAATCAATTGTATGTCAATTGTTGGGCATCCAATTTTAGAGTTTCTTGTCATTGAACTATCAGAACACTTGAAAATAAGAACCAGTTAGTATATATCCAGTATTGTCCAGGGGAGATAATATTATGATTTTAGGCAATTCATGCATTTAGTAAGAAATATTTCTAAAGTAGTGAAGACAATTAATATAGCTACTCTAGTGAGATACAAATATCTATTTAGAGCATCCAAAAATATTTTGTAATTCTATGTACCCAACTGAATTAGTGACCTGAAAATTCACAAAACGCTTTGCTAGGAGAGAGTGGTTGAAAGCAACAGATTGGCTATTTCTTCCACCAGGGTAAAAATCATCAACTTTCAGTTATGCTTCCCCACAGATTCTAACACAGCACTGTAGACAAAACAAAACAGACAAAAAGCTTTATTATTGCATTTTAAATTTAATTTTAAATCCTCTATTGTAAGCTAATAAATAGACTTCCATTAAATAAATTATTATAATAGATCCTCATACATATTGATAAATTAAGAATAATAATTCTGAAATATACAGAACTTAGACTCTTTTTAATTCTATTAAGGTACCAACTCCTTTTAAGGTACCAAGTGCTTTGACTGATTTGAAAAAATACTGTATGAGTATTGCAGGTAATTTTGCATACTATATAAATCTTATTGGTACAGAAGTGATATAGATGAGGAGTTAGTTAATAGATCATATCAATTTAATAATTAAGGAAGAAAAAACAGATTTCAATAGAAAAGAAAATATCTTACTTGGTTAAGAATGTCTTGTTTCTGTGCATGCAAGGAAAGAAAGAATACATGTGTTAATGTAAGACAGTTTATACTCATTACCTCTTATTTCTGATAATTTAGCTAAACGTTCAAGTTTACAAATTGATTTTAAAACATGATTCTCAAAATGTGGTTCCAAACAGTGGCATCAACATAAAGTAGGAAATTAATAAAAATGCAAATTATTGAATCCCACCCCAGAAACACTAATTGAGAAAGCTGGGGCAAAGGAGAGAGAGAGGCAGGGAGCAGTCCCTGTTTTAACAAGTCCCCCCAGATGATTCTGGTGTATCTAAAACTTAAGAACCAGTGACTAGATCAGTCTCTGAATATAATAAGTAAATGGTTCTGAGATGAGATAGATATAATAAATAACACATATGGCATGATTAAAACCTTTCAGAAAAGTTTAGAGAAAATGTAACAGTGTGTATAAGATAGATTAGATTACGAATACTCATTCCTCACTCCTAAGGTTTTCTTCTATTAGCATAACACACCTACCCTCTCTCCATGTCCCTAAAGATTGCATATCTTTCTATGCATCTGCCATTTTCTTCCCATTTCTTAAGTGTCAATGAAACAATTTGGAATGAATTTGAAATCCAAGACCAAAAACAAAAATTGCATGCAATACCAAACTGCTTGCTTCTCAACACGATCAAATTCTACTACTTTCAGGAGATTATACTTATGGTCTGACTGTGTTTTACTGTGAACCATCTCACGGAGACTGGATCTCTGCTACAAACTAGTTGTAATCATACTGTTAACACTGCATTATTCACATAAGATTAGATGGAAGCTAATAGGACTCTCTTGCCTAGTCAGCATGAGTCAGCAATAATCATGTGTAGTAAGAAATGCCACACATTACATAAGCAGCGTCCTCCCATGTCTTTCCATTCTTGCTGCCTTCCAGGCCTTCCCCTTATCCTGTGGCCTCATCAATGAAGTGAAGAACAAAGGGCATCAGCCTTCAATCAGGACTCTACACAACTAGGTTTTTTTTTTTTTGGAGTCTCACTCTGTCGCCCAGACTGGAGTACAGTGGCCGCTCCCGGCCACTGCAGCCTCGACTCGCTGGGCTCCTGCTAGCTTTCTGCCTCAGCCTTCCGAGTAGCTGGAACTACAGGCGTGCACTACCACGCCCGGCTCATTTTTGATTTATTGTAGAGATGAGGTCTCGCCAAGTTGCCCAGGTGGGTCTCGAACCCACGGGCTCAGGCAATCCACTCACCTCAGCCTCCCAAAGTGCTGGGATTACAGGCTGAGCCACCAAGTCCATCTCACAACTAGGTTTTAATTACAGTTATTGTTATAAACCTAACTGGTAATCCTGGAAAAGTCATTTCATTTTTTTATACACTTTTCTTTAACTTTTACAGTATTTTTTCAATATTTTTATAGTTTATTTTAAAACAGTACATTTATTAATTTGAAGATCTCTAAGCCGTTTTAAAAATTTTTACTTTTATAGACTCTTTTTTTTTTGAGTTGGAGTCTCACTCTGTCGCCCAGACTGGAGTGTAGTGGCCGCTTCCGGCCACCGCAGCCTCAACCTGCTGGACTCCGGCGATCCTTCCGCCTCAGCCTTCCACGTAGCCGGAATTACAGGCGCGCACTACCACGCCCGGCTAATTTTTTGATTTATTGTAGAGATGAGGTCTCGCCAAGTTGGCCAAGCGGGTCTCGAACCCAGGGGCTCAGACAATCTACTCACCTCAGCCTCCCAAAGCGCGGGATTACAGGCTGAGCTACCGAGCCCGGCTGCTTGTATAGACTCTTAAGGTTGTTGTTTAGATTTCTCTTATTCATTTCTTTAAACAGTGACTATCAAATGATCTTCAAAGGCAGGAATCACAAATAAATGATTTATCCATATATTGTACTTAATATTTCTTCTCTGTTAAAATAGACTTAAACAGGTCACATTTTCTTTGGATTAAATTTGTGAACACAGCACTTTTAAAATTCAGTAATTCAAGTGAATTATAAGCAAAAGAATGTATCTAGCATGTAAGCAACTTTATTTTGAAAGAGGAGAAACAATCTAAGGAATAAGTTCTCTGTGCAAATATATTTTTTATGAATGATACAAGTTATGTTCATTTTCAAAAACAAGGGATTAATTATTCATTCTGAAGTCAGGCTGGATTAATTATTTGTCTAATTTTTCTTATATAACTGAGCATCACTGAGTAGTCATCCTTGCCAAACAACTTTGGGGTCAATTTGACCAACCAATGGAAAGTGATAACTGCACATGTTAATTGATGGCAGGAATGCCATCATATTGTTAGAATTTTGTTTATGGATTGGATTAGATCATATATTAAAGAGAACTTTAAGGCCTTAAAATTTCTTTCTCGCCATTGGCTATTCCTATTTCCTACTTATTTATTTTTGAGTCAGAGTCTCATTCTGTCGTCCAGGCTGAAGTGCAGTGGCATGATCACAGCTATTGCAGCCTTGAGCTGCTGGGCTTGGGTGACCCTTCTGCCTCAGCCTTCCAAGTAGTTGGAACTACAGGCATGCCACAACACTCAGCTATTTTTTTTTTTAATTGTAGAGACGAGGTCTCACCAAGTTGCCCAGGCTGGTCTCAAAACCCTGTCTCAGGTAATCCTCTTTCCTCTGCCTCCCAAAGTGCTGGGATTATAGACATGAGCTACTGCACTCAGCTTCACTAGTTTTTAAAAGAGTCATATAAACTTTAAAATTTTTCTCCTGATGGAAAGCTGCTATCAGGATTAAGTAAGATCAGAGAGTGGCTTCACTCTTAAATTAGAATTGTTCTTGGGTCATAATAAGATCTAGCTTTTTGTTTTTCAACTGTCCATTAGTTTACCAATGTATTTCAATAGCAGTTATATACATTATGAAAAGACAATTCATTATTGAAAAAGATGACATAACTTGTGTGTCTAATAATGAATCTAGTAATTATCTCAATTACTAGATTCCTACCTTAATAAATTCAGTATTCCTTACCTTAATAAGTCCAGTATACAGTGACTAATAATCCTCATGAAACATACGATATCAATAAGACTAAGTCCTGAGAATCTTTTAAATAAGAAATCATTGAAGCAAAAGGTCTGTTTTCAAAACAAAATCTCCTTTCAATTGAATTTATAGCCAGCAGTGATCATTAGGGAGAAAAACCAGGTTTTATCTTTGTATATAAATTAGATATGCATGCATGTTTCAAGTATTGTTGTGAATATAAATATTAATGACATTTTTGTTTCTTATAGCAATTCAGTGCAACGATTCAACTTGACTTCTCCTACTCTGCTTTCTTGGACTTTGAGATTCTCACTTTTACAAGTTTACCTGCCAACTTTTTTCTCTTACTCTATGGCAACTTCGAAAATAAAATATGAAAGAAGCGTAGACCAGATATGTTTTTCTCCAATGTGGAAAACGGGAATGGTTTTAAATTGCCTTAATTTTCTCCATCATTTATAGGCACTAAATATTAATTCTAGTTTTAAAAAAGAAAATAAATCTTACATTAAAGAGTCTTAAAAGTTAAAAATAGTTTATCAGAATATAGAAAGAATAAGACCATATGACATGAAAATAGCTATGAGTATTATTGACAGGAAATTTTAAAACAATATGAATGTTTGAGGTTGGAGATGAGAGATGGGGCTGTGATAACTAAAATTAAGTTCTAGAAATTCCAGAGAAGTACAATATTGAAAGATAACTAAGAACCATGTTCTTGTAAACATGCAAAAACTAAACAACAAAAAACAAATCGCATTTTAGTTATCAAACAAATCCATCTAGATAGTACATTCAAACAAAAGGGTCTTTTGCAAAGAGAAGTTTCTTTTTACTCCCAAACAACCCAAATAGCACTTGGGAAAACTACAAATGCACTGACAGCAATGATGATGGAATGTTTAAAAGGTACTCTCTCTCAATTAACATTAAATGGAAAATTATTCAACAAATAATTAGAAAAGGAAAAATATTTATTCAAGTATGGTGCTCAAAAGCAATTCACAAGACATGCAATGTGTTCATAAGGAAAGAATTTCAGTAAATCTTAAGCTTACTGGTACTAGGTCAAACACAAATGAGGGGGAAGAAATTCTCTTTTTGTACAAGCTGGCTCCTTAAGATAATAGGCCAGTTATTTTCAGTACAAAACCTTTCTTTAGTCAAGGAAATAATTCCCTGAGAGTAGTAGCCCTCCTACCCCCATGCCAATTTCCATTTTGGGTTAAAATGTGTAAGCCATAGACTGAGAGCCAGGTATCCTCTCTCTTCCTTTTATCTAATACTGTTTCCAGATGTCTAGGAAAAGTATTTGGCATGTATTTAAGGGATCTACATTCTTTCAAACACACAATATAGAAAAGTTATTTTCACAGTAAAATGTTTTGGAAGAAAAATGTAGTACAATATTTAACATATCTTTCAGAATAGGATTTCATTCTGAACTTCATTTTGTCTATGTTATGGCATATGGTAAATGGTTAAATGGTTTATGGTACATGAGATATATATACACACATATATACATATATATGTATGCATATACAAACATACACATATATATATGTATATATGTCTATACACACATACATATTTCTAAGAACTCATCATTAAGAAATACCCCTTCCAAGCATATATATGAAACTGATATAAAGAAAAAGAAGTTTTACCCCTTCAGGATTATACTTTGCAAGCACACCATTACCATGGAATTCTTCAAGAACATCCTTTAATTTCTTTGTAGAATCTATAAAAAATAAAAAGCACACAAATTGTTTATACGTGCCTATGTGGTTGCAAAGAAACAAAGATCTATTAAGATGTAAATAATCATCAACAGAAACTAAATTTAAAAATCAACATTAAAATGTCTTTTACTAATTTTGAAAAGCTATTTAATTATAAAAGAAATGACAAAGAAACAAAGTAAACAGAAAAAACGTATATTTTACCCAAGAGTATTGCCCAAGAATGGGACCCTTGCCTATTTATTATATAATTAATGAACAAATGAATAAATAATATGTTCTCTTCCTTTAGTTTTATAACCTAACATCTAAACAGACAGCCTAAGTTTAAAAAGAAAAAAGGGCATTCTTTGTTAATTCTTACGATTCACACAGCATATTTTTCATATATCACTGCATTTAAAAAGCCAGGCTCGGTGGCTCAGTCTGTAATCCTGTGCCCTTGGGAGGCTGAGGTGAGTGGATTGCCTGAGCCCGCAGGTTCTAGACCCGCCTGGGTAACTTGGCGAGATCTCATCTCTACAATAAATCAAAAGAAAAATTAGCCGGGTGTGGTAGCGCGCGCCTGTAGTTCCAGCTACTTGGAAGGCTGAGGTGGAAGGATCACCGGAGCCCAGCAGGTCGAGGCTGTGGTGGCCAGGAGTGGCCACTGCACTCAAGTCTGGGTGACAGAGTGAGACTCCAACACAAAAAAAAATAAAAATAAAGATAACAGCACTGCTGGATAAGTAAGAAAAATAAAATATATAGCTAAACCTAAATGGTGAGTCCACTCAGAAACAAGGTCTAGATTTTAGTATTTTGCAGATATTTTTAGAAAGAATATTCTAAAAATATATAACAACACTAAATTAAAACTTACTTTATTCAGTTAAGAAGTAAAGTTTAGATATGTTACCAAAATGTTACAAATTATTTTTAAAAGTACTATAATTTTTGGCTTTTAATTATATTAGATGACAAGAAATTCTATGTTAATGTGGCAAATAATGTCATTAAAAATTAATATAAGCCGGGCTCGGTGGCTCAGCATGTAATCCCGCGCCTTTGGGAGGCTGAGGTGAGTGGATTGCCTAAGCCCGCGGGTTTGAGACCCGCCTGGGCAGCAAGACTCATCTCTACAATAAATCAAAAAATCAGCCGGGCGTGGTAGCGCATGCCTGTAATTCCGGCTATTCGGAAGGGTGAGGCCAAAGGATCGCCAGAGCCCAGCAGGTGAGGCTGTGGTGGCCGGGAGCGGCCACTGCACTCCAGTCCGGGCGACAGAGTGAGACTCCAACTCAAAAAAAAATTAATATAAATATTATTGCAATTGGAATTAATTACATTAGTGTGATATAAATGTATGCATTTAGTCTGCTAAAATAATGCTCTTATACTTATAAAATATAATTTTTTGATCAAGCAATCTCAGAATTACAGTGTCAGCTAGAGGGAACCAACAGCTAACAAATATAGATAATTCTAAATACTGAATTGAATTTGAATAATAATAAGCAAATAATTGCAAAATTAAAATGTGGGAAATAAGTAGATCTTTCAGTTTTTCTTCATAGAACAGAGCATGGAAAATTGTTCCCCCACATTTGAATACAATTTTTCCTCTCTTTCCCCAAGATTGAATTATATTTGATCTATCATAAAATCATTTCCAACAAAACCCATTTATAAATTGGCTTTTGAAACATTCTGTTAGAGAGAGGGGCAGGGTGGCTCACTCCTGTAATCCTGGCACTTCAGGAGGTGGAGGCGAGAAGACTGCCTGAGCCCAGAAGTTCCAGATCAGCCTGGGCAATTTGTGACAATTTAAAAAAAAATTAGCCAGGCATGGTGGCGTGTGCCTGTGGTTCCAGCTACTTGGAAGGCTGAGGCAGAAGGATCTCTTGAGCCCAGCAAGTCAAGACTGCGGTGGCGTTAGTGTGTCGCTGCACTCCAGCCTAGGTGACAGAGTAAGACTTCAACAACAACAAAAATTCCTGTTAGAAAACTCCCTCTTAAGTGCCCATTGAGAATACTATGCCATTATTTTGTGCATTGTACTTTCACTTAGAATGTACAATTTCCTCCCTTTATATTGCAAATTCTGTGAATTTGTGTATGTGTGTAAGGCATTGCTTTTTAAATTGAGACAAAATTTGCATCATATAAAGTTCACCACTTTAAAGTGTACAAATTAACAACTTTTAGTATATTCACAATGTTGTACAATCATCACCAATAATTCCATTACATTCTTTTCATTCTGAAAAGATACTCTGTACCCATTAAATAGTCACTCCCCATTTTCTTCCCACTCTGTGACTCTAATTAACCTATTTTTTGTGTGTCTATGGATTTGCTTACTCTGGACATTTCATATAAATGAAATCATATAAATATGTTGCCTTTGTATCTGGCTTCTTTCAATTAATATAGTGTTTTTAAGGCTTATCCATGTTGTAGCACATATTAATGCTTCATTTCTTTTTTATAGCTGAATAATATTTTATTGTTATGAATCTACATTTTAAAATCTAGTTATTAGCTGATGTACATTTGAGTTGCTTCCAGGTTTGGGCTATTATGAATAACACTGCTCTGAACATTCAGGTGTACCATTTTTGTGTAAAGTATGTTTCAATTCTCTTGGCTATATATATCTCTAAGAGTAGAGTTTTGGGGAGGTCATACACTAGCTCTGTGTTTAATGTTTTGAGGAACTGCCACATTTTCACAGCTGCTGTACCATTTTACATTCCCACAAACCATGTATAAGTGTTCTAATATCTCCACATCCTTGTCAACACTTATTCTCCAACGTTTCTTTGGATAGCCATACTAGTGGATGTGAAGTGGTTTGATTTGCATCTGATGAGTCATTTGCTAATGACTAATGATGTTCAGCATCTTGCCATGTGCGTATTAGCTAGTTACACATTTTTTTTGGCCATTTTTTAATCAACGATTTGACTGTTTGTTGCTGAGAGTCTCTGGGGTGTGTGTGTGTGTGTGTGTGTGTGTGTGTGTGTGTGTGTGTGTGTGGTGTGCTTGATGCCTGTACAGCCTCCTGTGTATTTCTTTTTTGGTTTATACTTTGCTAGCACTTTCTGTACTATGTTCAGAGTTATTTTGTGATGTTATGTCCCTTGCTACATTGTAGGTCGCCCTGGGGCAGAAAATGTATATTTTCATTTTTGTACATTTCCAAGTTCATTACAAAGCTAAAACAATAGAATTGCAATAAATTTGGGGATTAAATTAATCAGAGCTATTTGTAAATTACAACAAATTATAGTAATCGCTTTGAACTGTAACTTGTGAGAAACTTACACTACAGAGACCAAATTGTATATTAAAAAGAGACATGAAACTGATCTTCTATTTCCAAATTCTTATTTGTGACTGATAAAGCAGTGTTCTAAGTTAGCAAGATGTCCTTTACTTCTTATTTATAAATATGGATACGTCTTTCTATGTATACCCATAGAGACATACACACATACAGATGCATACATTTTGGAATATTATATCCTAATAGACTATGTTGGTTTTAACCATATGTTAGTCCAATGATAAAATAGAAGGGGGAGGAAAAAATTGGGTTTTTTACACATAGGCCTCCCACACAACTTTAGATATACTGTCTGAATATATACCTTCTAATTTTAGGTTTCCATAAGTGTAAAAAACACGTTCAGTAATTGTTTATAAATTGCCTTCCCAAAGAAGGCAAAAGTTCTTAAAATTATTTGTCATATTTTACTGACTTACTGGTCATAACTTATATTGAAATATTCTTCATAGGGAGACCATGAGCTAAATCAGGATCCCAAAATATCTCAATATATGACTGTCTTTTCCAGGAACTGAGGCTCAATAATGATCTTGGTCTGAGACAACTTAAGAAGTTCTAGTTCATATTCAGATGAATCACTATCAATTCAGTTTGCTCTTTCTCCAATTCTCAAGTTTCAGTTCTAACATCTTATAAGATGTTTATCTATGACCTCACGTCCACTTCACAGTCTAGTTTGGAAGCTGGAGGATTATCTTGTTCTTCTATTCCTGGAAAGAACAGTCACATATTGAGACATTTTTGGTTCTTAATTGAGCTAATGGTCTTCCTTTTAAGAATATTTCAATATAAGCTATACCAGTCTTGGATTCAGTCTCTCCAAGCCTGAAGCTTTGATTCTACCAGTCAATCTTTTAAAGATGAGGATTTTCGCATGGACACAAGAAAGTTCCAGATATCTTTAACTTTCAACAAAGTTCCCTTACATGTCTTACATATCTACTTGGATTCCAAAATTGTACCAGGTTGTGAAATTCCCTCTGCTGTATTCTACCCACTTTCATAGGAAAACACACACATTTATCTTATTTTGTAATTTTGCTGCTTTTCCAAATTTCTTCCTTTGAGCTATTCTGTCTTTTTGATTGGGCCAACTCTTGATTACATCTGTCCAAAACAACACTGTGGAGGATCTGTGACTGGGTCTAACTTGCCCTCTAGAATGAGACAAATACCAAGGAAGTGACATCTGGGTGAACAGATAGCAGGTGAGACATGGTCTCAGTCCTATTTCAACTAATAATAGAGCCTCAAGTAAGACCATGGTGACAGATATTGAGCTGTGTAATGCTGAGAAATCCAGGCAGGCAGCCAGACACAGGCAACTGCCAGCTGGAAGATCGGTTCACAGTTTATCCACATCTGCAATGGGACAAAGATACAGATTGATTGGCAAGTGAAGGACTGGGTAGCCAGTTTCAAACAGCAAGTTTAATCTTTGGGATGAGGGATCCAGACAGATGCTCTGCAGAAACAACTGGGTCCCCTAAAAATGGCTGTGACTTGGGGCAATTCTGAAAACAGGGCTAATTCCAAAAGCATCTGAGCTTAGCTTGGCTAGCTAGGGCAGAAGACTTGGAGAGCAGCAGTGGATGCAAATTGCAAATTGCTGCCCTTTAACTAGCATATCCCTCTTCCCAGGAAGTAATTTAATAGAGCATCAAT